AGAGAGGGGCTTTGCAAAATGCTTTTCGCAGAGCCCCCCCTCCCTATCATGGCAATGTGTGGGGCTGATATTACGCCGCCCTCTCGCCACCCGATCCATATAGTGTCAGTGTGTGGGGCTGGCTTTACAATAACAATGGTGACAGTTCTGCAGAAGGCACTGTATTATGCATGCTGTAAAACAAGAATATTCAAACGCATCAGCGCGACGTACCAGCAGGTATAAGGTGACAAGACAAGGCGCCGAACGTATTATCGACTAACGTTTTCGACTGTGTCATTCAAGCGCGGTCGTATCGACTTGTCCTACTTTTGGCTGTTCCGACCGCGACAACATCTTGAAGGCTGGCAGAGCCACGTGCACACGTAAGTCAAGCTCAGAAAAGGTCGATGTATACCGAAAACGGTGAAATGAAGCTTATGCAGGTTAATATACAGGGTGTTTCAAGAAATGTGTATACTGTTATTGTGTCAGTAATGCTGTGGTTATAAAGGCGATCGCCGAGCAGATTCCAAGGGCCAACGTATCGGCCCCCCGAAACGCACCATGAAAGCTAGAACGATTTAGGGTATGCCCCTTTAGTGCACCAGCAAGCACCGGTTGTAGTCCAAAGTCCGAGTCAAGAGTTGACAACAGGAACAGAACGTATTCTTAGTGGAGGCAGTATATCTTCCATGAACGCGTAGACACACACACACACACGTTCGGCTAGTCCATTCACTATATGACTCAGATGATGTTCAGTACAACCGGGGAACAGTCAAGCCGATCGCGCTACAAATTCAATCTCGTGCATTACGAACTCTTTCGAACACTTGAGGTCTTGAAATATATCCACCAATCATGCATGCCGGCGCACAAATACTCGAACAGAGTCCGGACCGTTTCTCGGAGACTCCAGCGCTTGTTCCCTCCGTCACGGGCTCGTTCCTTCTTGGCGCTCTTCACCGCTGTCTGTCCGTCGTCACTCGCTTATACCAGGCAGCCGTGCAGTTCGAAAACATTCCACACCGCTCACGTATACGCGCAGCACACTGAAAGCCAGGGAACGTATATCTTTCTAGTATATTCTACAGTGCACACGGACGCGCCGCCGGTGGCAGCTGCGTCGGCTTCTCGAGTTCTCTCGATGTTGCCCGGTGATCGCTGTTACTTCGTGATTTCTTTTTCTCTCTCTCTCTTTTTTTTTTTTTTTGTGGACGAGCTGCAGGCGGTGCACGCTGTGGAGAAGCGACCGTTGCTGGCGCCTCGAATGGCGGCGCCTGATTGGCCGGCGCCGTCTGTTTTGATGCACACTGGAGGTGCATGGAGTGCTCGTTTGTGACGTATTGAAAAATTAAAGAAAAGAGGCGTGCTACCTGCGGCGTTCCCTTTACCGGGCACAAGGCATATAGAGGTGAGTACAGACATCAACTACGGCAGTTATTATAAAAAAATAGCGCAATTAACGTTTTAACCAGCGGAAATAAGCGGGCGAGTCGAATGGGCGAATTCGACTCCTTGCTGCGAATAGCGCATAGCCACCTTGAAAAGTTTCGAAAAACGGCCACTGCGTGGTGGTAATCACGGAGGGGCTATGAGATCTGGCTAATTTAGCAGGCGAGATCGAAACCGACGCACCAAGCAGCGTAGCTATCGAGTCAAAAACGCCCTCAACGACGGCAACGCTTCCCTCGCATCGGATTGATTGATTGATTTGTGGGGTTTAACGTCCCAAAACCACTATATGATTATGAGAGACGCCGTAGTGGAGGGCTCCGGAAATTTCGACCACCTGGGGTTCTTTAACGTGCACCCAAATATGAGCACACATGTCTACATCATTTCCGCCTCCATCAGAAATGCAGCCGCCACAGCCGGGATTTGATCCCGCGCCCTGCGGGTCAGCAGCCGCGTACCTTAGCCACTAGACCACCGTGGCGGGGCTCCCTCGCATCGGAGTAATATGATTAGCGAGGGTCGATAAGCGGCCATGCGACAGGAAAGCACTGCCACGATACGAAGTGTGTATAGATTGGCGGTTGATAACGGTGGCGGTGGTATTGGTTAGAAGAGGAGAAAGGCACCTCATTTCTGCAGCCCTGTCGGGAGCACGGCGCAGTGCCTAATAACGGCGAGGGAAACAGTGTCGTCATTGAAGGTGTTGTCGAAGTGAATGGCAAATGCGTCGTTTCGTGCGCCGGTTTTTGGTTTCGCGTGCTAAATTAGCCAGATTTCATCGCCCCGCCTGGATCACCGGTGGCCGCCTTTGAGGAATTTGAAAGTGGCCTTGGACTAGTCGCAGGAATGAGTAGAAGTCATCCATTTGACTCACCTGCCTAATTGCACTGGTTAAAAAGATTAATTGTGCTAACTTTTATAATTACTACAGTAATTAATGTTTGTACGCATCTCTAGAGGCCTTCTGCCACGTTAGAGGGAACGCCGCAGGTAGCAAGCCTCTTTTCTGTAATTTTTTTTATAATGCTGGAAACATTTCTTGAAACAGATGTATAAATGGCTCTCAACAAATTTTTCGATGTAGACGTAGTAGGAATGGGGATCAGGGTACGTTTAAGAGCTATCTAGTTTTCAAGTTGTCTCGTTTTTAAAGAGCCACATTTTTCGTGGTCGCACATTCCCGGCATCTATCATTGATTAATTGTAGTCGGAAGCTCTCACTTCACAGAGATGACTTAAAAAATATAGCACTCACGGAGCCCATAGTGTGGTACACGTAGCTTAATTTCTGCTAGTCCCTGTTTTTGATACTATTGCTGTTTTAGACGTCATACATTGAGGTTTCACTCTGACATCAATTGTTATTTGCCTTTAATGTCCATTTAAGGGAAGAATTCTTTGTAAACTATGTACTTTTGTGAGCAATATGAGCTCGACCACGCTAGCACGTGGCCAATCGCCTCGAAATCGAGGTAACGCGATGTGTGGATGGCGCTGCCGAAACAGTAGGGGGGCGAGGAAGGCGCTCTTCCAATGACTGCTGGCACTCCCGCTTGACTGTCGCTGTGAAACCGCAGCTGATCGCGCGCCATCGGCCGCTAGCCATGATAACACTAGAAAAAAAAATAATGCACCGAAAACAAAAGTGAAAGATGCGCGTCAAACTGTTCAGCTAACACCAGTGTTCGGGCTCATAATGATCGGGATAGTATAAGAGCGGCATGGTTAAAATGCAATAAATTTATATCAACACTTCAAAAATTAACAAATGATGGATTTGTGGGGTTTAACGTCCCAAAACCACCATTTGATTATGAGAGACGCCGTAGTGGAGGGCTCCGGAAATTTTGACCACCTGGGTTTCTTTAACGTGCTCCCAAATCTGAGTACACAAGCCTACATTTCCGCCTCCATCGGAAATGCAGCCGCCACAGCCGGGAATCGAACCCGCGACCTGCGGGTCAGCAGCCGAAAACTTAACAAAGAACGTTTAATAAAGAGCAGTGACACAACAGGCCTGAAAGATTTCTGCGCGTGTTGCCGTATTGCCGGAAGGCTGCCTTTTTTGCACTATCGTGAAACAGTGTTGTGAAGCCAACTGGCGCACATAAACTCGCGTTGAGATAAGGCAAGTTTTTTAACATAAAAATACCGAATTATGCGATATATCAAACTAATTCTCTATTGATTCTGAGTTCGGTATGTGTGGGTTTGACTTGTGCCTACCATTGGGACGAAATTAAGTTTTGAATCACTAATTCGCTATTGGCGAATCAGTTTAAATTATGAGACTTGTGAAAGCCACATCAGGATCAGAAGCTATGCCATGTAGTTGAAGCAGGCCCGTAGCCAGAAATTTTTGTTCGGGGAAAAAAAGGAGCAGGAGGGGGGGGGGGGGGGGGCGCCTGCTAAAGGCCTTCAAAAACACCCGTTTTTTAAAAAGTAAACGCCCTCGGTAAAGCACACACCTCCTTCTGAATTTCGTGGCGGAAGTGCTTGGGCCCCCTCCCTCTTGCTACGGGCCTGAGTAAAAGACATCTAATTCATAATGACCATCAGATATTCTCGAATGCGTATGCAAAACCTTACTGGGTCCACCCGTGCCACTGCGCCTAATCTTTCGAATCGAACGGCGCCTTCTACCCACGGCCACCGGAGGACGCATAAGTTGGAATGGCGTCACTCCACCCGGTGATGACGTAACATCTAGGTAGAAGAGATGACAAAAAAGAAACGAAAAATATACAGAGAGGAGGAGCGAGCAATACAGAGAGGAGCGCAGCAGTAGAGCGGCGCGTTAACACGCGGCCGGCAATGTAGATCGAAACTTGGCGATCGGAAGAAACAACAAAACGAAGCCGGCACTCAACAGGCGTCGGCCGTGACTTCGCGCTTTCGCCGGGGTCGCTAGGTCTCGCTGCACCCGAAATAAAGAAACTCTCGCTAACGCACCACTCGACTAGCGCGCGCGCCTCATTGCGTCATAGTCACGTGCCGTGTACGTCACGTTGGAGTCACGAAACAGAGTCGGTCACTCGACTCTGTTTCGACGTGCTCACGAAACTCCCTCGTAAGCTTGCTGTGTCACAATCAAAACCTGCCTTTGCATAATTTGCTCAATTTTGCTGATATTGGCGTCATCTGTAGGCGCAAAAACAAGCTATTACTATCACTTCTCAGTCTTGCGGTGCTGAAACCTTCAAGGGATGACGTAATGATAATGGGAGCAGGGTTCTGACACTTGCGGCTTACGTATTGAGGATGACACAGCGCCTGTGACTCATCAACATTTTTCGAAAACACTTATTTAAAATCTTGTTCCGGTAAATCACGCTTGAACTTTAAAGACTGCCGCTGCTTGGGCAATACATTGAGTTTCTTATTTCTGCTTGCAGGTGGCGCCACTAATTGCATGTTCCAAAAAAATCAGTCATGAACGCGTCAAGGTTTTGGGACGTAGTTCTGCAACTATTGCGATTGATGAACTCCGCTTTCCAAACCGAGTCGAGTGCGGCCGCCCTGCGCGAGGCGGCGCTGGCTTCGTCTGCTGCATCGCCCCTCGCTCGGCGTCGTCTGCTTCTCCGATATAACCCGGGCCCGCGATCCCGGGCGTTTCATGGAGTACGCTCGCGCTTGGTACGAGTGGTGGTGCGACGTAGAGCAGCATGGGCAGCATCGTGTCGAGTCAGCAGCAGCAGCTGGACGTGGCCGACCCCAAGACGGGCCTGACTCCGCGCGAGAAGGGCCTAGTGCGTGACACCTGGGCACTGGTGCGCAAGGACATCAAGGCTAACGCTATTGCCATCTTCCTCACGTAAGCTACCTCCGTGGCGCGCAGCGCGCGCCGTTCTTTCACGCGTGCCTCCAGGCGATCCTTCGTGCTCGTTTGTGAGCCGCCAGGAATCTCGATTTCTCTTTTTTTTCTCTTATTCTCGCTGCAAAAGTTGCGTTCAATGCTGGCGAGAGGGGGCGGGGAGGGCTGCAACGGGGATGCTCTGTCAACTCAAAGTGGCTTTATTATTATTATTATTTTTTTGCTTTCGTGCTTACTTCGGTAAGGGGCCGAGTTCTTTTGCAATATCGGCAACCGCTGGGAAGCGTGCGGGATTCCTTTGGCTCACCATCACGACCAACTATTGCTCGGAGGCGTTTATTTTTTGTTTCTTTTTTTTTTCGCGCTTCACTTTCCGTTTCTGTATCTTACGCGCGTCTTAAGCCTGTACAGCGTGCAAGATAGTCGCGCGCGCGTTTTTTCTTTTTCTTTATTTCGATGCGTTTACCGACCTTTGAGACTGTCGAGAATCGCAGGGAGCGAGTTTACGTTTGCAGCGCGTGCTATGCGTACGTCGTGCGTTCCTCACGAACTCCTAATCTTTAGTAGACGTCGTCGCTTTCTTTTGATTTTATTATTCTTTTTTGTCTCGAGCATACGACACAAGTTGTCTGGCACGTATGTGTACAATCGACTCGCGATACTTCTTGCGACAGCGAAATTCTCCGCGAAACGCGTCCACAACGTAATACCGCGCGCAGTACACATTCCAAACACGATCTCTTCTACTAGAAGTCTTTTATATTTAATAAAAAAATTGATCCGAAAACGAACGTGCTTTCGGCGCCAGGGTACGCACGTTATCTCAGCGCGCGCCTTAGACTACGGAACACCTTGCACAGTGAAAACCTTTTTTTTTTTTTCCTTCTGAATGGCAAGTATAACCAACACTCTTCCGACTTTTAGAGTCGCATGATTTACATTCACCATCGGTTTGAAAGTTTGTCACTGGTCCGCGTTGCATGGTCCACATCGCAAAAATGATCGATTACTGATAGGTCGAGCTTGACGTTGTTAAGAGGTTATTTCTTCAAGGGCCACCTTTGATATCGTTTGCTAAATTCCTCATGACCTGTCCTACTTAACCGCGACTGTTGCACAGTTTTAATACAGCTTCGCTGTATTATATGATAGGTTTCCTTGGGTGCGGCGTACTTGTCGAGGTTAATTATCGTTGCCTCTAAAGCTCCATCGCATAATGCCCTCGTGTCGGGGCGGTTGCTGAACGCAACTTAGTTCTTCGTAATCCAGCTGTCATTGCGAAGCGAAACCCGACTGGATAGCTTTACTCGCCGTGTCACTTGTCGAGACGCTCGCGAAGCAATTTTCTTTCTTTTTTTGCTGATGACGAGCGGCCCTTTTTTGCCGAGGCTGCGATAATAACCGAACGATATCGGACGGTTTCAATTTGTAGTAAACGCGGTGCGATTTCGCTGATAATATTGCGAATCCCGGCTTGCACGCTTTCGTGCCTTTTAATTGTGGCTTTGAAGATAGTGCTCGCCGTATATTCGTATAGCATGCAGTGACAGGCCATCTGCTTTTAGCAGATACAATGGCGGGGGGGGGGGGAGGGGGGTTAAAAGCTTGTTAATTTGACACCCATTAATTTCGGAAAACCGGATAATTCCGACGGGGTCTCTGGTCTTTGCCAGCGTGCGCATTGGTTAGTGGCGTCAAACTGTCGTTATTTCGGTCATATTTGACCGAGACCCAGTTGATTCGGACGATCCAAGGACCTGCCCGCCAAATCCCGTAAATTATCCACGTCAACGAACGAAAACTGCATTCGCGGACAACTGAAACGGCCGCGGGTTCCCCCCCCCCAAAAAAAAAAAAACAACAAAAAACAAAAAAAACCTGTGGTCTTCATTCACAACAGCGTTGTTGGTATGCAATAAAGGGTGGATCTAGAGTTCGTTGCGGGTAGAGTCACGGGGGCCCTGACCGGCGTTTATTGTGTGAAAGAACCGGAAAGAACTGAGCATTGGTGTAGTGCAAAATAATTGTTAAAGATTAGCGTATTCGTCAGGCTAATGAAAGAGCGTTGATGTAATAGACATGCGTTTAAGCTTTTCGCAATATTTTAAATATAATTCGGCTAATTATGACATTTCTTTCATGATCCCGTGAAATGCGCATTACCTATTGTTTACTGTACGACGGAGATGATTTGTCTCAGATTCAGCAACTCGTTGCAAATGGTATTTTCTGTGGCCGACTATATTCTACTTCATAATGACTATATGTTGCCGATGAAAATACATGAAAGAAGGAACCCTTCGTACGGAGGTGCATACATCGTTTCTTGGATAAAGCCGCTGTAAGATTTTCAATCAGAGGCCGGAAAGTACCGTTTAACTTGTTATAAAGAAGCGTGTATATAAATGTGAGAGATATGCCCTGAAGCACTTTTGCGTAAGGAACGTGCTAATTAGATCGTTCGTATTTTTTTCCTTATCAACTTACTTATTCATTATAAAGTTTGGTTGCTTAAAGAATAAGCACTTTTCTTTATTTTTGTTTCTCTAGTGATCACACTGAGTATAGCTCATTTGTACAGCGCCTTTGATCGATTGTGCTTCGATGTTCGATAGTAACTTTTGCAAATATAACCTGACTTCGTAGAAATAAGGTTACTCCTTACGATCAGTCGTCGTCACGGTATCGCGACATCTGCTTTCAGCGGACTTCTTTACTCGTGGATTACTTTGTGGCATGCGTAAATACGACTGGGCCGCAAATTCACCGTACGTATGGCCACGTTTCCAAGCTATACCGGCTGTTCAAAGTTAAGCGTTATGCTTTCTTAAAATTCGGCACTAGGAGTCTATAGGAGGTGCGTGAAAACCACGTTTTCAGATAACTTTTGTATAAAAGAGCGACACAAAGCTTACCAAGTAACATAGGTGTGAGAATGAACCTTTACCGACTGCAGAAAGCGGGTATGTTTCTACTTTAAAGCTGGAGGCAATCGAGCTCCTATACACAGTTTCGCTTGGACGAATTTCATCATGTCTGAGTTCCCAGATATCCCGCTACAAAGCTTTATTGCGGTGTGTATGACTGCGTCTATGCCAGGCGCTGAGTCTCGGCGCTATGTTTGCCCCTGCTGTGACGAATGGTCATTGCTTGCTATTTATTGCCAGCCGGTAGTAAAAGAGTATGCATGCGACCCGTTGTCTGAGTCAAACGGCGTACGTAACTGCCGCGAATGCTGCATTTCTAAGGATAATGTTTGCTTCGGCATATATATATATATATATATATATATATATATATATATATATATATATATATATATATATATATATATATATATATATATATATATATATATTACGCGGGAGGCATAAATTTTCGTTAATATTTGTATATTAATTATTATTGGTAGTAGTATTTTAGTTACGTAAGGTTCCAGCTTATCCACGTACAAAATTATTTTAACGCACTATTATTCATCAATTTTTCCCATGTGTTATACGATGGCGTACACTTGTATGGTTTCTTTCTTTGTGTTTACTTATTTTCGATTTTGCCTGGATGTGTTTCGAACAACTATCGCCTAATTCTTCCATATTGTCACTTGACCAACTACGACGTAGTGTTCATAAAACAAGGCTTATTGAAGCGGACTCGTGCTCCTTAACATACGAAAAAAAAAAAAAGAAAACGGCGAGACAGCAGCTAACGAAGCGACGTGCTCAGTTGAGCGTCGGCGTAGAAACACGACAGTCGCGACGTTAGTCTATCCACAACCATTGGGTTAGACTGATAACCATATATAGTCTGATGGCGACAGGGCGAAATACTGCCCGCATCAAAATAGGATAGCCAGTGTGGCGTTCACGAGAAAAGTGGAAACTCGCACTTTGCTTCAAACAAGGGAAAGAGAACCGGGTGGGGCCATGCGTTGGCCACGAAACAGCTCCAAGAAACTTTTGAAGCGTGTATGGTGGTAATACTATTACTGTATCCAAATGCGTGGAGCAAAATTTAGAAACGTTTCATCAACCGCTGACACGACAAGGACGCGTATACACCATTACTATGACGCGCGTACTCTTAACTGGGTCCCGCGTAAAGAGCTATATTACCGGGAAAACGTGAATATAGGTCGGGAGTGTACGAGCTTCATCTCGATCCCACTGCATTGATAATTGCTCCACGCCTGCTCACCGGGACAGGACCTTTGCCGCCATACGCATTCGGTGCGAACATTTGCTCGCATGTTGCCGTGTTTGTTCTGTCGTGTATCGTATACGTACTCCGCAAGCAGTCCGATATGATCGTGAACCGTGGGCGTAATATTACAGAAACAATGTAGGACGATGACACCAATGTTAAAAAATGAATCGTAATGAGTGAACACACAGATTGACTATGATATCCTCAGTGATTTTTGAATCGGCGCGCGTGAGTGTGCAAGATCCGTGCAACATTTGATATTATTTATTGTGAATGGCGCATTTACAACTAGAAAGCACCAACTGGAACTTATTTAGCTACCAGAGATGCACCAGTGAGTGAGTGAGTGAGTGAGTGAGCGAGAAGAACTTTATTATGGTCCAGTGCAGACGCTGAGGTTGCCACACGTCACCCGGCTACTCCCACGTGGGGACCGGCAGGTCTAGCCTGACGGCCCTGTCGCGGGCACACTGGACTGCCGGGATTCGGTCATGAAGTTCTGGGCTGTGCAGAAGCGCATCCCACCCGGGTTTGCTATAAGTCGGTCCAAACGACCCGCACTCCCAGAGCATGTGGGTTAATGTAGCGGGCTGCCCGCAAGTGGCGCAGGTGGCATCGGGGAATTTGTGAGGATAAATCGCGTTTAGGTATGCTAACGACGGGTACGAATGGGTTTGAAGTAAGCGCAACGAGACGGCCTGTGCTCTATTGAGTTTTGAATGTGGCATTGGGAATGCCCGCCTCTCCATGTAGTAATACTTCTTCATAATCTCGTTGTGTGTAGTAGGTGTGTC